AAGTTGGCCAGGTTGAATCGAATCTCAAACTGTGATGCCATTTCCGGCATTTATGGGCTTCTGTTTTAACTAAAAAATATTTTTTTTGGATTGCCTTCAAATTCGATCAATGCAATCTAGACACATTGGTGATCAAAAGTTAATCAAATATTCACTGTGCGTCAAACGGAGTGTCCATGGCGTGACGCTCAATTTCCAAGTTTCGCAGTGGAGAGTCTCACTATGAAATGTTTTGCACGGTGTCTGACATGTATGACAACGTAGAGTGGTTTCCCTCGGCTTCCGGCGATGAGGGCTTGGGCGTGGGGCGACGTGGTGTGGCGCGGCTGCGGCGGGCAACCGCCATGCAGGCCCTGGCGTGGGGAGACGGCGAGGTCGTTGCCGCCCAACGCTGCTTGCAGCTTTAATTTTTTTAATTTTTGTTTTCGGGGGTAAGCATTTCGACCTTGGCTCTGGGCCTGGTTGCGAGAATGTCTTATTTGTTGTATTACAGTTGTGAATGAGCGTTTGCCTTGATAGACCACTTTTCTCCCTGCATAAAGAACTAATTGAAATGAATTAGGACACAGTGCTAATGTTGATGGAAAACCAGCCTAAACGTACCCACTCATTAGAATCTGCTCCTAATACTTCAATATTCAGTTAGATACACTGAGTTTTTGATTGACAGTTGTTGGGGTTCTTTACAAAACACTACATCTGGGTTTTTTCTTGGTTTGACTCAATGTATGGGAAGTTTGTAAAAGGTAGAGAATAACATCACTCAACTAAATTCTATCAAAAGTTCAGCACAACTGACTTTGTCACTCATTCTCCTCTTAGTCCGGATCTCTCCGGTGAGGTTGTTTCCTTTGGGCTCAGACAGGTGATAAGAAAGCAGCGCATTGTATCCAGAGTCTGCGTCTACAGCCCTGATCTTTGCCACAAAGTATCCCGCTTCAGCAGAATAGGGGATGCTCTCACTGTTAACGGAGCCGTGCTCAGAATAGGGCGCGAGAATCGTTGGATTATAGTAAATGCATTTGTATTATGGACGACACATTGCAAACTTTTCTGTTTCTTCTGTTCTTTTATTTTTTATTTAAAGAACTTTTTGAACTTTTACACCCAGCTGCAAAGCTGCTGACAGTGTGTGACCTGCACAGTCATCAACTTCTGATAGTGTACTTTACGATGTCATAAGGGGATATTACACAGTCTGAAGCTTTGGCTTGTTTTTCCATCATCAGACAATGTTTTCTGTAATGTAATGATGATGATGACAATTAGTGAGCTCTGTGTATCCCTGAGTGTAATAACAAACTCCAGTGAAACTAATTAAAAGTGTGGCATCATTAATTATTTAAAGACTGCTCTGTTTATGTTGGCTTGGCTAAGGAATACATCTGTAATTATTTGTTTCTTAACAGTTCAACAAAACTTTAAATAAAATATATTTTATTTATTTAACATATGAACATAAGGTTCTTTATCGTGGCCTAACAAGTGGGTACATTTAATCTGCACTCACATTAACCTAGTCATCATTCATTTCAATGAGGCCACTAATAGGCACAACCTTTACTACGGTACAGCGCAAAGCTAAAAAAGAGACTGTCAAGGGCCTGTCTGGAGTGTATGACACTGCATGTCTAATCTTACACTAATGCTCTAACCTCATTCCTCTTTGGTTTGGTTTTTGTTTGGTAATTTTATTTCATGTGTCTTTGGTTTGAAGTCTCAAACTGCACAACTACACAGGGGGAGAGGAAAATAGAGAGAGAAGTCTTACTTTCACCAGGTTCTGCATTTGGACAAAATATATGTGAATATATTGAACACATCAATGCATTTTGAGCTATGTAATGTTTATAGGGAATGACGAGACTGATTTCCATATATTTCACACCAAATACATATAATATTTATTATAACTGATTATATAATATACTATATTCATCACATTTATTTGCTGTATTGTTGTACTATACCACCATGTCACTTTGCTTGACATGGTACTGCGCCATTAGTTGCCTTGTAATTTGAGTTTAAGCTCTTTTAGAGTTTCTATTTCTATTCTTAATCTTATTATTTTATTAATTATTAATTAATTATTATTATTTAATATCTTTATTTATCTGTACTTATTTCTGATCTTGTGCTGCTGCAACGCCCGAACGTCTCCTCTGGGGACCAATAAAAGTTTTCCTTGTGTTATCTTAAACATGGCTCAGCACAAGATAATCTTGCTGTTTTCACCACGAGGGGGCAACAGTTCTGTTCTGTGACAGCATCACAAAGCCAGATTTTTTTCAGTCACGACCCGCCCTGCTCTGTCTCTCTTTAGGTATGAGGACTGTCATCACTTGTCTGAGAATAGGACACGCAGGATTAAATCACACACTCCATATGATAGACAACCACCCTAGTGGACTATGCTTCTTCTAATAGCTTCTTTCCACATGCCATAAGACTGCTGAACACTGTATAACTATTCCCCCTCCCCTCCCCCTCCTCACCTACACACCTACACAGGACTGCTCCACTAGGAACTTAATTTCGTTTTTATCTTATTTTATTATATACAAAAGTTTCTTTAACATAGCTACCTGTGCAATATATATTAAGTCTTATATTAATATTTCAGCTCCAAGGACAGTTTCTTCCACCAGGCTGTCAGGAGACTCACTCCAACTCCTCCCTGCTCTACCGTCACTCCCCCTCTGGCCCTGTCACAGACTAGACTGCAACCCCCCTTCCCCCCAACACCACTCACACTCTCTGAACTCAGGACTGCAAATTTCACTTTCCCCTGTTTATTTTGCACTACACCGCACTACCTCACCTGTTTTAAATACTTATTTATTTGTTCCTGTTATATTTCATCACGATAAATAATCATCCTGTAAATACTCAAGTGCCTTGATTCTGATTTGTTGATTGTTTATTTTATGTCTTGTTGATAGTTGATTTATATGTTATTTTTATGTCTTGTTGATTGTTTATTTTATGTCTTGTTTAAATTGTAGACAAATAAAGTCAAATAAAGTCTATCTAAGTCTAAGTCTAAAATGCCAAACTTGATAGAAAGATCATCATAAATCATCACCAGTGACACCAACAAATACACACATAAATACAAACAACAATAATATTAAAGTAGTATTAAATTATCAGCATTTGATAAGGGACACAATATTATATTAGAAAATGTACATGCAAAGAAATCATAAAAAATACATAATCGTTTAAAAAAATGACTTTAATAATTAATGCTATATTTTTTATAACATGAAATATAAAGAGGATTTAGTTTTTGTTTGTTTTGTTTTTTTCCTGCCAGTCTACTGCTCTAGTCTACACTCTCCAGTCCAGCAGGTGGCGTTAATGAAGAGGAGGAGGACTGAGATTTGTTGGGGTTAGGATAGCAGAGGCAGAATAGCGCCTTCGCCATCCTACGGAACATAACCTGACAGCAGGGGGAACCTTTGCTCCGTGACGACGAACATTTTATTGTAGCGGACCAACATGGCCGCGCTGCGGAGCGTAACAAGCTACCTTCGTCTCCTCAGGTAAACTGTGTATCACAGTTAGACAACAATAACCCGACAACACTTACACTTTAATTTATACACGATATACTAGACTAACTGGCTCTCTAAAATGAAACGCGACCGTCGAGTTTAATGACTTTTAATGTCGGAAATCAGCATGTTTTTATTAATAACAATGCGAGCAAAGACAACCGGAAGGTGTCAGAATACGTGTTTTTAATTGCCTGAAATAAATAAATAAATAAATAAATAAATATATATATATATATAATTATAATGCATTGCCTTTAATGTTTAACTTAGTTTTGCTGTTTGTATGTAATCTTTATGTAAAGTGTCTTTGAGTGTCCATAAAAGCGCTTATAAATAATTATGTGTTCATTATTAATGTAAATGTGTTTTCAAAGTTGTTTCGTTTTTCATTTCTCTGTCGACACTTTCAGTTTATGGTTTCAGAGGAGGGCTGAACAATGTTGTGTGTGTGTGTGTGTGTGTGTGTGTGTGTGTGTGATGAGAGAATATGCCTAACCACAGAACAATAACGCAAATGTTTTAATAAAGCTAAAATGTGTGACAGAACACATAAAATAAAATGAAGTACTGTAGTGCTGCAGAGATGAGAGAAGAAAGAGTTTTTATTATTTTAATATTTGATTTAGTGAAAATGTCATTTGTGATGAAAACATTAGAATTCCAACAATAGTCGTGAATCATATTGCCATCGCAGTGGTTCAGAGCTAGGTAGCAAGCCTGTAGACTGTGTGTGTGTGTGTGTGTGTGTGTGTGAGACTGTTTTAAGATGAAACTGTTTGTTTTGTTCAGGAGTTCTGCTCGAGTCCTGCTCAGCAGCAGAAAACCTGCAGTCCATAAACCAGGCCAATGGACAAGTATTGTGTACAGAAGTGTAGCGTCTTTAACCGTCGGCGGTGGGCTGTGTGCTGTACCTTTCAAACAGGCGAGTCCGTCACCTACCAGAGATAGACACATGTGGCTATTATATCTATCTTATTGAAGCCATCTACAGTATATAACTTCTGTGGTCCTTGTCTCCCCTCTGTGTCTCTTCTGCAGGCTGACACCCTCTCGCACGACTCTCTGATCAGACGAGCAGCCTCTCTGGTAACAGACAGTTCGAGCACTTTTCTCTCTCAGGCCACCTTGGCTCTCATAGATGCCATAACAGAGTACTCAAAGGTAAATTGTTGTTGTGGTACAGCATTGTTACTATATCTTAGGATTTAGTTTCATAAAGATTATTTGCTCGTATAGTGTGTACAGTGTATGAGCTATTGGTGCACATGCCGCCGTAATATAGTACATACAAGATAATAATACAAGGAATAGAGAAATAGAGAAACATATATTACACATAGATTCTTTAGTAGTGATTTTCTCACTGTTTACACATTCTGATGTGAAGATGTGAAGAATGTTATATGTGTAAAAATAAATATGAATGAAGACTTCATGAAAACTTAAAATAGGCCAGGGATAAAGGCAATATCTACAGAATTGTGTACAGACTGTAGTGGATTTTGTTTAGTATAGCCATAAACCTTAAAAGATAATTTCCCTGACACTCACCTAGTGAAACGACGATGTAGACCAGTTGCTTTGGTTTGATTTTAAGTTCCTCACCTCTTCCTCCCGTGCCACTGTGTCTGTCCTCCCTCTGCTTGCTAACAGGCTGTGCACACACTCATTGCTCTCCAAAGACGGTATTTAGATTCACTGGGAAAACTGACTCAAGCAGAAGAGGATACAATCTGGCAGGTGATCATTGGCCAGCGTGCAGAGGTTCGTTTATGTTGTCCTCTTCTGTCACAAAAAGTCCATTTAAAACAAACCTAAGCATAGCATTCGGTTTTTCTGTTCATGTATTGATTGTGACACCATGAATATGACAGCAGACTTGCAAACCTTAAAAAATGAGCTGTTTTATCTGACTTGGGTTTTATAATTCTCTGTCCTGACAGGTTAAGGACAGACGAGAGGAATGCAACCGTTTTGAGTTAACCTGGGTCAACGCAGTCAAGCTGTGTGAAACTGCAGCGGAGGCGGCATACACCTCAGGTGTGTAAAAGAACATGTCTGAGTGTGCTTCTGTGGCTGTGTGATAAGTTGGGGTGTCATGGTTGTAGTGTTGAGGCAGGTTTTCTCAGGGCTCTAGTAATGATAAATAAAAGTGTTTTGCTGTGTATCATCTTCCCAAAGCTGTTCACGCTGTTGTCTGTACCTGTTCCCATTCAGCTGCTTTCAGTGTTACACTTTGGACTGTGTATGGATCACTTGTTGTCACTCAGCGGGGCTTTGTGTAAAACAAAATGGAGATGATGGACACAAGTGCCTTCTTAATGACCACACCTAATGTCTGAACTTGAGGTGGTGTTTTGTCAACCTTTGAACCCTTTTGACAGTTTGACAGTGTGTGTGTTTTTGCATCTGTGTGTGTGTGTGTGTGTGTGTGTCCAGGAGCTGAACATGCGTCCATCACAGTGAGGACGAACATCCAGGTGGCCCAGTCGCAGGTGGACGAGGCACAGAAAGTGTCAGTGGATGCGGATAAGAAGATGGCCGAAGCTAAAGTAATGGAGGTTGAAAGGATGACACAATATGCAGGCTCCTTACAGAATGATGAGGAAGAAGTGCCAGAGGCTTACTTAAGAGAAGACTGAAAGGGTATCAAAAACAAAAGAAAGCATAAAAAGCTCATGTTCAAAGTAAATAAAATAACTTTTTTTCATCCTACAATTGTCTTTCCTTTTCTTTTTGAGTCTGTCACAAGTTTGAACTCTTTGATAGGGCTGTTTGATATGGTAATGACATCATATTGCAATTGCAATATGATTTCAGATTGTTGTGGGAATTATCCTTTTTGCATCACAAATTTAGTTTTCACCAAAAAAAAAAACGATTAAAATTATGATGATGTGCAATTTTGGGGAGTCTGTACCAAACAAACATGTGTCTTAAATCTGGAGAATAAGATTCATAACTACAGTTTTTTCATTCCAATGGTGTTTGTCACACATTTTACCAAAATGTTGTAGCTTTTTTTTTTTTATTGATAACCATAGCTGAAGAGTGACAGGAATGACACGCAGCAAAGGGCCACAGGTTGGATTTAAACCCACGGCTGCTGCAGCAAGGACTATTGTTTAAAGATATGGGGCGACAGCTCTACCAGGTGAGCTATTAGGCTATTTGTTTTAATTGTTTTAAATTATGTTTATCAAATGCTTCTGCAGCATAGGTGATGTTTTCTCTCCAATGTTTATTGTATTGTGACCTGACTAGCATCTGATTTTTGTGTTCTATTTTGTCCAAATTCAGTGTAATAAAGTCAAATACACAATACGAACATACAACTGTTTATTTTGTTATTCACCTGTAACAATCGCACGAGAAAAGCAAAGACTTTACCAGATGAATATGAACCTAAACCAACTACAATGAGTTTTTAACTGGTTATTAAACTGTCTCAATTCAATACTAATGTCTCAACAAAATTATTATTTTCTCGTCTGAATTTTTATCAAACATATAAATGTTAAAGAAATCTCACACAGTGAAGACCACGCTATATTCGCAGAGCCTTCACTCTGCTAAACGGCCGAGTCATGCATTAAAAATTTTAAACAACCAAAGAGATAATAGAACAATGGGAAGAAAACACCAAATTTGACAAAGAATAACCCTATTAAGAATGTATGATTGTTAAAATCACTGAAACAAAGCAGTAACAACACTACCGCTTCTGTCCACAAGGGCCACCAGAATCAACAAAAAAAGAAAGTTACTTGTTGCAGCTTGAAGGGACCAGTGGATTAGATTCAGTATTGTGTTTCTAGGGCTTGTTTTTTGTAACATCAAGTTCATCCAAGTGACTGAAAAACATTTAACCAGAGCTAAAAATGGAGAGAAAACTCAATGCGGTTGCCAAAGGATGAGAGTGTGAAACCAGCATTTGCCAGATTTGTTCTGAGTTAATTGTTGGTGTGAACGGGTGTTATGCATGAGAGGTGTTTGTGCAAACCATGTGAACAGAATGTCCCCTGCGGTCATCTTCGGAGAGATTCGGTTAGCTAAAGTGACCAGAAGCCACTTCGTAAACAGCATAAAACCCAGAGATGCCTCACAATTGGCTGACTAGCTAATTGTGAAATAAAACCAATCAGTTGGTGGTACCACATTTTTTTTTACATGTGAATATGCCATTTACACAATTTTAAACCTGCAAATTAATCACGTTACTCAGAACATCTTCAAGATAGTGTTGCTTTACTTGTTGTTTGTATTTCTCTTTTTCACTCAACAACTCTACCTTAACTGCAAATTAGCCATGTCCTGACTCTCCCCTGTGAAGCTTTTAGGCCATCTATCAACCCCTCCCTGTCATCACTTCATCTACAGCGTCACCTCTTTCCACACTGTCACAAGTCAGATTTAGGCTAAGGTGTGTGCAGCTGGTCACATTTGTATATGAGATCATTGCCGTCTGACCTTGTTGCATGCATGTAGGATTTCACTTCGGACAAATTTCCCAGAGCAACACAGTTTATTTTAAATTTCAGTCAGACAACAAACCACAAAGTTATTCTGCTGAGGTTGGACCAGAGACTTATTCTATATAACTGCCTTGCTTTGTAAGATTACAGCAGGGCTGCCTAAAGCTGTGGTTTCAACTTGGTCATCTAATCATTAACTATTTTTATTTTTCATAATCTGAGCACAGCAAGAAGTGATACTTTGTCATTTTTGCATCCTAACAATACAATTCAATAGGTGTTTGCTATTGGCCATTAAGTTTCAATTTTGGCTCTCCAAGAAAAGGAGTTTGGGCACTCCTTGCTTAAAGGATAGGTTTACAATTTTATTTTTAAGTAAGTTTAATTAAGTCTGTCTTGCTGCATTGGCCACTGGTTCGAGTCTGACCTGTGGCCCTTTGCTGCTTGTCATCTCCTCTTTCTCTGCCACCTTTTCTCTCTGTCTATCTTGAGCTGTCCTGTATAATAAAGGCAAAAAAGCCCCCAAAAATATTTTAAAACAACAGGTGCCCACTGTACACTCAAACAGGTTTTTCCTCCTGTTCATACTGGTGATTTAGAGATTTGTTCTTCTGATGTAAGGGGACAAAATCTGCAGTCTTCATTCTGTGCAAAGACCTATTCTAAAGTCACTCAATCAATGTCTAACTCATAATAATTTCAGCTGAAGTTTGCAATGTATTTTCACACAGAATGAAGTGTGGATTTTGTCCCCCATCACTGACATGGGACACACATTAGAAAGAGATCTCTTAATGGCCAGGAGGAACCATTACAGGAAGACAACAGTAAAGACAGAATTGTAAACCTACCCATTAATTCCAGCAGATGGCGATCTAAATCCATTATTACACATTTGTATTTGTTACTGCTACAGCTGGATTCACTCTGTTTGCAGTTTGATTTGAAATGTATTTACTATTTCACTATTTCACATTGTGCTTACTGTTTTATTACAAGAGATATGTTTATATGTTTAAGGTTGTGATTAATTGAGATCCCTAGATTGTTGTCATGTAAATACATACTGCCTACAGTTTAATGTATGTGTTTGAATGGCATTTTGTCTCCAAACCAGCATCTCACTTCTGTCATCATTTGTGTGCATCCTTTTACACTATCCACTACTGTTTTCAAAACATCCACCAAGCCTGCAAGTCTATTACCATACTCATTGGAGAAGCCTTGTCCTTCAGTAATGTGAATAAGCTCTGTAACAGGTATGCTGCCTTTATTGTCTTCACGTGTGCCTTCCAAAGGTCAGTGTGTACTGCAGAGGGTCATTTCATTGGGAGCTCATTATGGGGAAGACCTATGTGGAGCTGCAAACATAAGTGTATAGCGTCAGCAGTGAGGTGACCTCTCCCGGCTCTAGATGGTCAAGCCTTGGCAGGGAATGAAACCATGAGAGTGGCTACAGGGGGGGGGGAAGGGGGAAGGTTTTGAGGTGTGCAAGGACTGGCTCACCAATGTGACTAGTGAGGAATGTTGTGTTTAACAAAGGCTGTTTTCACAGGATGTAAAACCAAATGTCCCAGACAGTCTGTGTGGATGTGCACCCACTGGTCACAGGGGAGGTGGTGCCAGTGCAGCCTTGCCTGCTTGCAAGGAAATGTAATAGCGCTTACTGAGTATTTTTGCAGCTTAAAACCTCAATGAGGTAACCACAATTACAAAGGTCATGGGCCATAAATGCTCATAAACAATTTAGTACAACTGAGGGGATTTGAGCATTTATGCAGCATTTGTGCAGCACAAACTATGCCAGTGGTGTGTAATAAGCCTCACTGAAACTATTTCACCCAAATTGGTGATATCATTAACACATTAAATGTTTTGTGGAAGAAAACAAGATGCGATTTATCATCTCATAAATACACAAGCCTCCTCACTGCACTGGCTTTACTGTTCCAACGCAAAGTGGCCCAGGAGGGGAGATTGATTGGTGAAAAGGGCAGCACTTTCACCTGGGGATTTATAGCTCTTTGAGGATATAAATAAACCACCAGAGGGTATAAAGGCAGGGGGTATAGTGTGGTGACACATCATGGGTCATGCTTTAATCACAGTGAAGCTGGGCTGTAGCCCTGAGAGAGGGAGCAGGTTAAATTTTGCAGGAGATGGAGGCTCCCTGGAGAGTTCACGTCCCCTGATGAGGACCCTAATACAGGCTATGAAGACGTCACCGCAGAGCGAAATGCTCGACATGTGAGAGAATCACATTGAAACGAGCATTTTTGCTTATCTTCAGTGAATAAATGTGATGTCCGCCCAAAACTGCTGAGGGAGCATGTTTATCAGTTCAAGCTGCAGAGCACGATAATAACACTGTGCTGCACACAACGCCGGATTCCTGAATGTGTAAAAGCTGTAATTATCTCAAAGAAAAGAACAATGCAAGAGAGTGTTTCATTACCACTTTGTTTTAGGACAGAGTAGTCACAGTGTGCCTGTGTTTAAGCTGGTGAGAACGCACTTTTTCAGAAAGAGAAATCAGTGAAGCGCTTTAGTTGCATGTGACTACTTTGTCCTTCAGTAGCTGGTCTCCTGGGGTTTATATTAACTTTCACATTCACTTCCTTGTTTTTCCCCCTCAGTTTCTGAATACTTTTATGACATCGGTTACACATTAACAAATATGTGCCTCAACAATCTCCAGTACAATCTCCAGTACAACACACTGATTATCATCTTCATGTTGGTGGTGTATTCATTCAGATATTTCTGTAGAATCACACCTGGTGATTGGTTCTTTTTAATAAATGTGCTACATGTGGTAAAGGTGAGTGATAATAGGTATAAATATATATATATATATATATATATTTTCCTTTCAGGCTTTAAACCTGTGCTATCTGTCTTGTGAATGATTGAATCTGCTATAGGAGTCTGGGTGCCCCTTACAAATGTGTAAAGTGAAAACAACATTAATATCAGCTTACCATTCAAAACCTCCATCTATAAATAGGCTGGACCTGGTGGTTAGACTACAGTGTTACCAGTTGCGGGTCTGATCTCCACAACAACCATGGGACCTGACAAAAACAGATAAAGATTCAGTGTCTCCTTGAGCGAGACAATGAGCCTTTATCTGTTCAGTCTCTGCTGTGAAGAGGATAATCATGCTTAAAAAGTAAACTGTTATTTACACAATTAACGGTTTCTTTGCAGTTAAGCGTGCGTGTAATGCCAATTTTCATAAGTGTGCGCTTGGAACAAGGGGGTTTCCTACTGATTCAAACAAAACTTCACATTTATTTCATTATTTTTAACAAAGAGAATAAAGATATGTATTTTATAACCCCCATGTAAATATTAAACAGATATTTACTTACATATATACAGTTCTATCCAGGGTCAGATTAATGCTCTAGGGGCCTCTGCTAACCCTTCTAACCCTCTTTCTCACACTTATTCTAAGGAATATGTATAATGTAAGCAAACTGATATTATAAAGGCTGCAAAATTAGATTTTAACTTAGGGCCCCTCTACAAGGAAGGGCCCCAAAACGCCTGTGTCAATTTAGGGCCCTTATCGTGGCAGTTTATGCTGTGCTTTAGTGTTGCAAACAGTATTACTAAACAAATGTTCAGTTAATCAAATTACCAAAACCTAATTGCCCCTGGAGGTTTCGGGGCCTCAGGGCAGCTGCTCACGCTGCCCAGATGGTAATCCAGTCACGGACCTATCCAACAGGAAAAGTTCATGTTTTTAACAAGTCTCATGAATGGCAGTAAAGTAGCCAGTGCTAAAACAACTATTACTACTCCTTTGGCCTACTACTGTTATTATAACTATATAATGTTTACCACTGATAGAGCTACTACTACCAGTGGTACAATATAGCTAAGAACATGTACTTGAGTATCTCTATGTCATACAACTTTATATTTCTATTCTACTAAAACTCAGAGGGAAATATTGTAGTAGGTTTTACTCCAAGACATTAATTTGACTATAGCTGCAGACTAAAAATGCTACTTTTACACATGAATGCATCATAATTAATACTCTCATAATAAAAGAATACAGCCTCACAGGGATATACACAGGGTTCACTGGGTACTTTTTTTCTTAATAATCTCCTAATACATACTTTACTTAAGAAATATTTTAAATATTTGTATTCGTAACAGAGTATTTCTGCAGTGTGATGTTGATACTTTTACATAAAGTGCCTCTCCACTCAAAAACACGTTTTTTCATCTTGTTCCTAGAGTTAGGTGTTGGAGGTTCACTGTGCAGAATGATGTATTTGTAGTTTGACACTAGAAGGATGGTTTTACATTCATCTGCTGGAAGTTTCTCTGTGCTCATTGAAAAGCTGATTTTTATGGGGCGGAGCCTACAAGCATGATTTGTGACATCACAAATAGTTAGGAAGTCAACCCTGGTTCAGTATGAAACTTATACCTTAAACTTAAGTGTGATACAGAAACTTAAAGCCACCAGTGCACAGCACAGACACTGAGAATGGACTGAAGTAGGAGACATCTTGTTTCCAGAAAACTTCCAGAAAAATGTGCATATCCATAGTTACTGGGGGTTTTTTGTGTGGTAGAAGGAGTAGATGCATTTTTAAGGATTTGAATGTAAAAAATATCTTTTTTTTTGTTCCAATCAGACTATTTGTATATACAGTATGTCTTAATATATTACAGTTACAGTTATCTTTATTATCTCAGATGGGAAACTTGATTTGCAGTTAGAGGCACAAACAAGGAAAACAAAAAGTACCAAACAAACACAAAAATGATTCCTTCACATAAAACATACAGTAAACCATAATAAAAACAACAATGTAAAAAAGACGGATAATTTAATGTGCAGGGTACTAAACATATGTCTGGAGGGGGTCTTTAAGTTGTTTATGTGTGTGTGTGTGTGTGCTTTGCAGTTATATTTATTTACACTGCAACTACCTTCTGGTGTAATCTTAAAGTCATCCATCCTTTAAGAGAATATTTACGTGTATTCAATAATCCGTGCAATTGCCTTTGTGCCATATTCCATCATACATCACTATATATATATAAAAGGCGTATATAGTGCACTTGTGCTCTATTTCATCTATCACATCTTGTATTTTATATCTTATCTTAATATTGTGGGTGTTTTTCTTATCTATTGTTATATCTTCAGCTGCTGTAACAAGCACATTTTTCCCAGTGTGGGATCAATAAAGTCTATCTTATCTGAATAATCCCACCACTCCTAAAACATAGCCTACTACCAGCTCCGATCCGGGCTCCTACCCTAATATAGTGTACTACCAGTCACTATGTATTCACTCCTGTATTTTTTATAGCGTTGAATCAGAGGTGATTTAATGTGGCTTTTTTTCCACACTGACTAACAGAAAAAGTACTTTTTTTTTTACATGTTCAGTATGCAGAAATACTGCTGCTACTAATCCAACCACTACCACAAAGTCACCACCACAAATGCTATTACCACATCTCATACAACTCATTTCACCTGAGGAGAAAAGCTCCAGTGTTAAAGTGGGAAACAAATTCAATGATTTTTTTTTGTTTTTTTTTTTGTTTTTTTGGGGAGGGGGGAGGTTTGTGCGTGAGTGCGTGTGTGCGTGAATGCGTGTGTGCGTGAGTGCGTAGGCTACGTGTGTTTTGTGTTTTGTGTTGTCCTGCAGAGGTGGTACAGCCCACGCTGGTCGGTCGCTATGGAGAGCAGCTCAGCCACAGAGAGAGCAGGGACGAGCGAGGAGGACGGACGGGAGAGAGCCGAGGAGGACAGACAGACAGACAGACGGTAACCATGGAGAAAAGATCACCGCTCCTCAGGACTTGTCCATCTAACGGACTGCGGCTTTTAACGTCACTTCTCACCTTTTACGGACTTACCTGTGAGTTATCGGTTCCTTTGTTGTTGTTGTTGTTTTTGGTTGCTACTTTGTTTTTTTTTTTTAAAAAAAGCTACTGGAGGAAGAAGAAGAAGTTGCGGTGAAGCTGCTCGGAGACTAAAAACCGGACTGCTTCTCCTTCAGAGCAGAGCTAGCCTTATCTGTAGCTTAGGGTTTCTTGTCTGTGGACACTTATCTGAACATTTAATAACATTTAATTTAACATTTAACGTCGGTGTGGAGGGGGAAAAGTAGCTCCGTTAGCTTTTGCTAAACCTCGTGTCTTTCCCCTCATTGAATACAACAAGTTCGTTTCGCTGGTGGTAGTTTTTTTAGTTTACTTACACACAGAGCAATCCGCTAGTCACACTGAAGCTAACTCAGATTTGCAGCCTCAAAGTGACTCGGACACAAGATAACTTTGGGCTCATCATGAGTTAGCTTGTATTACTCGGGGGCTGAAAACACTGTGGAGCAGTAGAGAGATTCGCGGTGCACAGAAATAGAAACGAAATGGAGTAGTCCGGGTGTCACTTCGGGGTGAGCAAAGAGGGAGCTGCTTTGTGAAAAGTTGGCCAAGTGGTTGGATGCAGATGAGGACGATAAACGTTATGTGATACAGGAGAGGAGAGAGAGACAGAGAGAGAGAGAGAGAGAGAGAGAGAGAGAGAGAGAGAGAGACAGGAATTAATAAGGGAGGGAGTGAACAGGAAAAAGATTAAGGGAAGAAGCAATGAAACAGAAACAGAAGGAACGAGTGGAGAAGAAAAGCAGCACAAGAGAGAAAGAAAGAGACACAGAAAGAACCAGAGAAACAAGGGTGAGAGACACAGAAACAAAGAGAGAGAGAGGCAGAGGCTCTGCTTATCCATTCATAGCACACAGCGATCACTCATGCACAAACACATACAAAATACACAAAGGCCCCACTTCCACTATCTCTCTGCTGCTTCAGCCTGCAACACTGACTACACACACACACACACA